CATAGCAGCAGCTAAAAGAGCCAAATGCCTGGTATGATTCATGCGTGTTAGTGGTTGAGGGCAGTGCAAAAGAGTATGGTAAAATGCAAGAATTTTATACTGGACCAGGTGTGGTAGCAGAGCAAACCCTTCAAAAAGCAGACAGTGCATGTAGCTATATGCAGTGTTGTGGAGCAGCTAATGTTTTGGTCACTACACATCTTTTATCTGTAATTAACTTGCAGCACTTCCTAGCATTTATATATCCACTATGGGTCTTTGCTCAGATTTGAAAATCCTCATACTGTAGAAAATAAACACTGGTTGTCTACTGCAATTCCTGTGCTCATTCAGTTCAAGAAAAGCTTCATAAGCAAAAATGTGTAAGATCTTCACCTGAAAACTTGGGCAGTTGCTTTATAGACATGCTATAGTTAAACAACAAGAGTTTGTTCTAATGTAATAAGATGGTGACTGCCAGTGGATTCTGTCCTGATGGAAGGAATGGGACTCTGTTTAGCACAACAAAAACACTCACAACACACAATGAAGTCATGGACATTTTTACTGCAGCTTGTCACAGTTCCTGGTTGTCACAGCCCTTGTAGACTTCCTACAGCTGGATGACACCAGGCTGCTGAGTTTGGGTTCCAGCATACTAGGACTCTGGGCTCTTAAGCTTCCTATGCTTTTAGTAGGCTGAAACAGTGGTTATTTCCTTGCCTTCTCTATCACAGATAGGCACAGTCTCTCTCTTTGTTACCCCTTTAGAGAAACTGGACCTGGGAGCTCAACAACCTGAGACCCTCTGCACATGCACATGCACATGCACGTGCACATAAATGCACCCAATCTCTTTGCCAGAGCTTCAGCCACCAACTCCCAGAATTCCAGTCTTGTAGATGCCCTGAGTTTAAAGGTAACTTCTTCCAGGACATGGGACAGTTGAAGGAAATACATAGGCTTTATAAGCATTCTGAAAACTAACAATTCCTTACTTCAGCTAGCACAAGAATTAGGCAGCTCTAAGGGATTTAGGTCAGAGTTTCTTAAAATAATCCTGGATCCATCTTCCTGCACATGGTTTCTCCAGTCAACTATAAGATGTTTGTCCATCTCCTCCCACTTCTGTACCCAGTGTCTTTGGGATGGTCCTGCAGTTAAAGGACCATCTAAGTTGTTCTTCCCTGACCAAGCTCTCTTATGTACTTTTGAGGTTTTTTGAGTCTCTCTTTGTCAGGTGAGTCCGTGTCAGCCTGGCAAGGTGATCAAAGTCCACCACCAAATGATCCACTGCTTAGTTACCTCCCTGTGGAGTTCAGACTTGACAAACTGGTTTACCTTCGGCAGTCGCCATTTCTTTGTTCAAAGATCCCATATTTAAAGTGGTGATTGTGGTTTGATGCAAATACACAGAGAAAGAACCCAATATCAAATGGATTTCATAAGATGGATGTATCCAAATCATCACACCTGACAAACTGCATCTCTGAGTAATGATTTCTCCAAATACCCCATCTCTGGTTGTTAGGCCTCTCTTTGCATCTTACTTGAAATTGAATCCTATGGTTCTTTTACTCACAGATAAGTCCTGTTTGTACCTACCTGATTCACCTCAGCAGGTCTGACATCTGGTCATTCTATTCTAAAAAAATGTCTATCAGAATTAGTGACCAAATAGCCTACCTCAAAGGCAAGCATTTATCTAGAACAAATGCCCTTAACATTTGAACATGCAGATCTAGCTTACCAGATGTTTAACCATCTTCCCCTGGCAAAACTAATTCCATCTAGTCTCTTCCACAGAGCCTCTCTCTGCCAGCTTATCTACCTGCCAGAGTTCAATCTTCACTCACAAAGCACATACTGTAAATTTGGTGACAAAATGCTGTATTCAAATAAGACCAAAAAGTTGAATTGCAGCTCTGAGTGAAAAACTAAATCTATCTGCAAAAAAAGAGACTGTGTTGTATGCTTACTAAAAAAATATTCACAGCTGGTATATCAGCCACTTCAACAAAAGAATCTGCAACCAAAATGGCATACTATACTAACAATATCCACATTGGTTGTCTGCTACTTCTAGTTAGAACAACTACAAAGTATAGTAGGAGTTGTAAAATTGCCAGTTGCAAACTTAAATATTTAAGCATTCAGTTTCCTTAACAGTGTGTCCTTGGCTAAAAAGGTAAGATGCGTGTCTTTAAAAAATAAACTTTTGATGATGTGCATTGAATAAAATGATTTCTAACATTCTGGCTGTATCTGATTCAAAACATTTCATGTGGAAGAAACCAAAATAAGCCAAGTCAGAGGGTGAATATCTTAGTCTGATATATAGGTAACATCTGTAAAAGCACACATTAGAATGTGACCAGCCACTTCAGTGGCCATGGAGAACCAGACAAATGAGTTTTAACTTGCCTAAGATTCATAAACTCTTCTTAGCCCTTGATGTGTTATTTTCATCTTGATTGTTTAAAAAGCTAACATGGCAGTTTAATTATGTAGATTATCTTTATATGGCCAGCTAAACTTTTCAGCCAGGATTTTCAAAAGTGGCTAGGTCCTTTTGTGAATCTCTCTTTTTGGGTTCCCAGTCTGCGACACCTTTAAGGATTCTCATCGTCTGTCCTGTGAAAATCAGAACCTTTTAAAGTATATGAAGTTGAGCACCCAAGAATTTTGGCATTCACCTTTTAAAAATCTGAATCTTCCTTTTTGTTTCTTTTTCTTTAACATGGAGATTTATGTTTTAATATTCTAAATTATACTGTTTTGTTTAACATATTTCATTTTTTCTATATAAAGATGGTAAAAAGAAAGTATTTTTATTGCATGGATAGAAATAAATTAACCATAATTTTCATTAAAAATACATCTGTACATGGCCTTGAACTCACTGACCAGGTTAAAATAGTAGGGTAGCCCTTTATCCTTTATATTGTAGACTTTGCAAATAGCTATACATTCCTGCAGGTTTCCATCTGACTCTGTCCATGAAGTAGAAATATTTTAAAACGGGGACAGAGGCAGTTGTTTTCAAAAATTGTGCTCCATGTTTTAAATGAAGCATATTCCTCAGTTCATATTGAGATTCATGTGTGATATGCTATGAAAATTAGAAATCGTTTACTGGCTGTTTTGTTTCTTCAACATGTTTCTTCCACTAAAATTACCTTCCAATTATTTTAATATGATACATATGTGATAGGGTTTGCATTAAAAAAGTTGCTCTGCTTGGGATTGTCAGGCAATTAAACAGATTCCACAACCCCTCTAGATACTAACTGGTGCTTAAAAAGCAAACAACTGAATCCTGTTGGTGACTTTCTATATAGGTCAGTGGCCACCCCTTTGTTAGACTCAGGGCACATCTTGGAAAATGCCAGCCCTTAGCTTTCACTTCATTTTTGACTGTGGAAAAATACTAGAGCAATTCTGTTGCAAAGGACTCTGAAAGACCACAATGTCAGAACGTTTTTGATCCTGTGGATTCCTATTTGAAATCTCTGGGTTTATCTTGTGAATCATGCATAAGTGTCTGCAGTCCTGACAGTGATAATATTGTGTGACACTCTGAAGCACCATCAAAAGGAGCTCACGGTACCCTAACTGCAAATCATTGCTATTGGTGATTGCTATAGGTCAATCATTGCCCTCAAATGACTAAAAGCAGTCCAGCTGGTTAAGGCAAATTTATGTAAACAGGAAGTCTCCTTCTATTCCCCAGTTGACCCACTTGACTGCTTGCCATGACCCCATTCAAATTGGACAGATTGCATTTCTCAGCTTAAGGACAGAACCCACTTCTCTCTTCTTTACTGCCTCCTCTCAAGCAACTGCTCCACCACATTCTGAAGAGCTGACTCATTGTTCTTGCCACTTACTTTCACTATCAAATATCAGTGGTCCCATAATTTATTTCCAAACCTCTCATATCTTCAGGCTTTCCTTGCTGGGTGCCATGGTAGCATGCTTGTCACTGGAACTTTAGTCTGTCCAGGTGTCAGCTAGACAAAAGTGATGATGTCAGCCTAATTTAGACACATTTAGTCTGTGCAAAAATGAGGCTTTCCCAGGACCCTCAACAAGATTAATAGAAATGTTTGTAGATTTTATTATAGAAAAAATCCAATGGAAAGAGTGTTTTGTTTGGGTTTAAACCTTTCACTGGCATGTTACATGTGTGTTACATGTGCTGAGCTACAGTGACGATGAGTTGCTATACCTTCCGCTGTAGGGTGTTGCTTCCAGCTCAAGTTGTAGCACTTTATTCTTTTAGCTCTGCCAGTTCCTGTCTAATTCCCTTGTATTGTCCAAGAGATTGGCCGTCATGCTCGTTTATGAAAGCCAGGAAGAATCAGTCTAGAAACATGAATTGATTAATCTACTTCCATGGCCTGGGCCCATGAAATGCAAAAAGACATGTGTAAGAATCAGTGGTGAGAAGTAAATGTGATGACTTCAGGGCTTTTCCAAATTTAATAGTGAAGGGGGTAGGGGATAAGATTCCAGGGCATTCAACTTCTTTTTTTTTTTCCTTAAATGTTAAGATTTTTCTTAAATCCTCCTACATGGCAACTGGAAAGAAAATAAGTATAGTCAACCCACAGACATAGTGTTACCTTTAAAGCTCCTCTGTGGCTGAAGAGAAATTGGACATGGGGAAAAAGAGGGAGAAGTGATTGCAGAGAGAGAAAGGAGAGAAACAGCTCCTGAAGAGGGCTGGCTGCTCTCTCTGTCAGCTGCACCATTTGATTAAGGGTGCCATACAATGTATATGGTCTGTGAAAACTAGTGAAAAATTACCTCCAGAGGCTTGATAAGGCCTTTTATACTGAGCCTTTACATCGTCTCATAAGTCTCCCTTTTTTACCCATAATTCTCCTGTGTGTGTGTTTGTGTGTGTCTGCGCTCATACAATTTGCTTCTGTATAGGTAGATTTCATAAAGCTTCTACACACAGGCTTTTTGTCCTTGCCCCCTCGATAACTCTTTGCTGCTTTTTCTCCTTCTAGGGATGCTCGTAAGGGAGGTCCAGATCGAGGTCTCCCGGCAGCAGGTGGAGGAGCTCTTTGGTTTAGAAGACTACTGGTGCCAGTGCGTGGCGTGGAGTTCTGCTGGGACCACAAAAAGCCGAAGGGCCTATGTCCGTATAGCATGTAGGTGTGACACTCGCAGTCACCACACAAACTATTTAAGTACTGCTGGCCCCATATCTGGCACAGACTTCTCCCTACCAGTCCATCTCCAGACTCTAAATGGGAAATCTTTCTCCTCAGCCCTAGTGTTTTAGATGGTGAGGAGTTCTTAACACATGTATAAATTTGGCAATCTCTACTGTTTTGCTATTTTTAATTAAGCTAGTAGCAGTTCCCTCTGCTCTTCCAGCCATCACATTCAAGGCTGCAGCCTCTCCTCACTCATCCTGGAATCTGGTGATTACTTACTAGCATATGCCTATGACTCCCCCTTTTCCACAGGGTATGCCCCCAATGTACAGCTTGCCCATGATGTCCACTGAGATGGATGTCAATTCCACTCCAATTTAATGCACCATTTGGTTCTACACAGAGTGCCAGAGCCATGCACCCCCACTGCACTGCTTCAGCCATGCTTGCTGGGCTTAATACAGGGAGTCAGTATTGTCACAGCACAGATTAGGGCCAGAAACTGCTAACAGGACTATTTTCAGCTCTGCCATTGACCCACTGTGTGACCCCTGGGTAAGTTGCTTAACATCTTTGGACCTCACTGTTCCTCCTGCTAAATGTGGATAATGCAACTCTGACTAGCAGATTGTGGTAATTAATTAGTAAATATTTGTACAGCCATTTCAACATATTTAGCATTTACAGAGGGCTTCATTATATTTAATGTCCCTGCAGTTAACACTTCAAACATAGAGTTGTTTTTTTTCTGATTCAACAAATGTAAGTCTTACATTCCTTACCAACCAAATGGATCATGCATTCTGAGGACAGGAATTCTCTTAACACTGGCTTAGCCTGCCATCCAAAGGATGTTCATAGTGATTCCCTCAACAAGAAAAATGTTGGAGACACAGTACATTCCGGTGTAGAAGCTACAGCCTTACCAGGGGAAGAGTTGTTCAGTGACTAGAGAAGTGTTACCTTAGAACACTCCTGCTGAAATATCAGAAGTCAATATGATATCCCAGTTTAACTGTGCCTTATGGTTGTCTTGTGTCCAGATTGCCCCTTTGCTATGTTCCATAGGAGCTGCGCAGCTGAGAAAGAGATGGGGAAGGTGCCTGTTGCCTAAACTTCCAGGGATGCATCTTGGTGAACCTCCTTCCTGCACACCCCTACAGTGACCCTCTGTAGGGTTTGATCTCCAGTGTGCTTTTACCTAGGTAGCAGCACCAGCTGTATGTGCAGGCATGGTGCGGTCTTCCTTCCTTCCAGAAATTTAGGGGCAAGACCAAAAAGCAAGGAGAAGTTAAGATGGAAAGTTTTATGCAACTCCTACCTGTAGCAGCTGTTTCCTCTCTTACTACAGTAATTGAGACACTGTAAGCCTACAAGACCGCTTTGAGACAGGGTGAAGTTTCCTGCCATCAGTTGACAGTGCAGAACCATTGCTTCAGAAAAAAATGGATGGCTGTTTGCTTTGAGGCTACAGCTTTAGTGGAATAGCCCTGTTCTGTTGTCTACCTTCATAAATGGATGCCAGTCTGGTGACATTTACTAATGGTCCTCACTGAGTCTCTTGAAATAATTGTGTCAATGATCCTGGGTTCATTATGTATCCTGAAAAAGCAGGGCAGGAAAATTGGGCTGTGACTGCATTTAGCTGTAATTGTAGTAATGCTGGTTGGAAGGCATCCTGCAGGGTAGGGCACCACCTAGTGATAAAGGAAGGGAGTGATTTCTCTCCCAGGAGTGTGCAGTAAACTTTGCTCAGCTGAACACTGCAATAGGCTGCTTGTCTTCTTCCTTTTGCAGTTTTGTGTGATGTGAAGAGATGTCTGTTCTTACTTATGAAGAGTAATTCCTTACAATGCAAATAGCTCTGATGATATCAAGGAGATTGTTGCTGAAATAAGATGCTCCTCAATATAACAATGGGAGAACTGTGTCCATGGATAGCATATTTCTGATAGTAAATTGGTATGAGCACTATAATAGCTGAAAGTGGCCAATTTCATATTAGATTCTATGTGACCTACAGTACAATTGTATGGACTGAAAATTTAACATACAAGGCATATAATAATGACATATCTCACCTGTAAGATACATGCATTTTTATTCTGTGTGTTGGGTTTAAAAGAAAAGGCATAAGGTCAGATATTCAAAAGAATTCAGCTGTCATGTAGGCACCTATTTGAAGGAGTTAGGTGTTTAGGAGTTGGCAGCTCCAAGGAGTTATTGGGCTCTCAGTATCTTTGAAAAATCTAGCCCTTGGGTTTCAGTAATAGACCTTGGGTAGCATGCATCTGAGAATCTCAGGGATATTAAATGGAACCAAGGAGACCTAATTCATAACTTCAATGCAAATGGTAATAGAGCTGCCTGTCACTCTTGGGTCATTGTATTCTAAAACATGCTGCCAAAAACAGTCTTCCTTTCCACTAGAGCATCTAAGTAGCAAACAGTGCCCCCTTGTGAGATACAGATTTCTAAATTTTGGATGGATATTTTGGTTAGCTATGAAGAAGAAAATGAATTCTAGGCAGATGCATATTGCCATTCCCCCTGCTGCCTACTTACAGCAGTTAAATTAGGGCAAGGATTATGAGTTTTATTTTAGGAATGGAAAAGCATATGAAAACTTGCCTTATCCGTGGGTGAGCAGATGTTGGCCTGTGTTCTGAGACATACAGTGTCAGATTTGGCCTCTTTCTGCTGAAATATATTTCCATCCAGAAGACAAGCATACATTTAAGAAACAGCAGATTTTTACATTGCCAAGGACAAGCTAGAGCACAAAGGGCAAGGTAGGTGGTTGATGAAGATCTGACACAGGTGCTAGTGATACCCAGAAAAATCTAAAGAAGTAGTGGGATGAAACAAGTCAGAGAGTCCTGAGTGTTCTGGTCAGCCAATGTTTCAAATGATTTCCAGATAATTTTATTTCCCTGTTGGTCAGAACATATAGAGTTCCCTTAATGTCACATGAGTTGCTTCATGCCTGTCACTGGTTGCTGATGCTTGGGGCTCATTTATGCTTTTCAGACTTGAGGAAGAACTTTGACCAGGAGCCTTTAGGAAAAGAAGTCCCACTGGAACACGAGGTGCTTCTGCAGTGCCGTCCTCCTGAGGGAGTACCACCAGCAGAGGTAAGCAGGGCTTTCTCTCCTAAGTCCTCAACGACAGAGCCAGTCCAAAGGGGCATGCTAGGTAGGCAGTGCCAGCATACTGGGACTTGTTTTACTCCCACAAGAAAATCTCTATTTGCATTATCATACACTTACAACAGATAGCCGCTTCCATCCTGTCATTCCTTGGGATGGTTTTGCCCTGCATAGACAGAATTTTATATTGATGCCAACCTTGCCAGGGGCCCCTCAGCAGCAGAAAACGTATTTTCTATTGAGTCTTCCCACCAGCAGTAGGACAGGCTCCATCTCCTCCTGGAGAGCAGCACTGGCAGAAGAGGAGGTGTGGCCACAGCAGTGGGGGATGTGCATATTTGCTGCACCTTCTAGGCAGCCTAGGATACTCTGGTTCTTGACCTTGTACTGTGTTTGTATCTGAGAACACCTGTGAATGCTGCAAATACACAGGCTACTTACATCTCAAGTAGGAAGTAACTGGATTAAGTTTTGAAAAGCTTCCTGAACTACCTGGTATCTTGTCATTTTTAGCAGATAGGCAGGTTTGTGTTCAGGATCTTACTTCCCAATACCTTTTTCTGCTATGAATTTTTGCGTGCCTTTAGATAGAAAATCAAGGAATTGACTGGCAATTGGTAACTGCACCATCCTCCCCCCAGTTCTTTCCCTCCTTGCCTGGACACATCTATGGCATCAGCAAAGGCTGATCATGAAAGTGCCAGCCAGCCTGCCAGGCTCACTGTCATGCCCTGCTGTTAAATCCATGGAAACCTGCTATATCTCCTAAACTCTTCTTAGCCCCTGTCTCTGAGCACACATATTCCCACGCTTGTCCCTGCAATAGTACTCTCCTTCCAGCTGGGATTGCTAGCCCCTCAGCAGTTTGTCAGCTGAGTTCCAGTTCGGGAGAGAGGACAAGAGAGAGATTAGCCACATCCTTGCAGATGGATTGGAGCTGTGATGAATGGCCTCACTTTGAGGCCGTCAGCTTTCATTATTCAGCAGAACTGTTTATTTTGGGCAGTGGATCTGTTATTCTGACATCTAATAACACACTTAACCTCAACACCTGTTCAGTCCACCCCTCCCTCTGGTACACGCTGATCTGCCTTTAACCCTTTGTAGTACTGATCTGGGAGAAGAAAGGCAAGAGATGGCTTGTTTAAACATTGCAGGTAAAAAAGAAGCAATAGGGAGCTGGGAAGATCAACATGAACTTTCCTACCAAAGCAAGGCCTTGTACAAACCAGTCACCTTTTGTCCTTTGCCTCAGTTACTCTCTACTGTCATATTAGCATATTATTTGTCTTTCCTCTCTTTTTCTAAATTTTCCAACATTCCACCACTTTCTTTGTCCTTTACCTCCTCCTCTTGCTCCTCTCTGTCTGTCCTCCTTTCTGTTTAGGTGGAGTGGCTGAGGAATGAGGATATAATTGACACCACTCAAGACACCAACTTCCTGATAACAGTTGATCATCACCTCATAATCAAGCAGGCCAGGCTTTCAGACACTGCCAACTACACCTGCATAGCCAAGAACATTGTAGCCAAACGCCGAAGCACCACAGCCACCGTCATTGTCTACGGTACTGACCCTTTCTTTTAGCTATATTGTGTTTCTGCAAGCCAAGGAGCATCTTGTGTTACTACTTGTGGCTGTATTCATATAAAGTCATCAGCTGAAGTATATGCATAATATGAGGGAGATAAATTATTCCAGGCAGGGAGATCTCTGTTGCTACTGCCTGAGGTGAAAGAGAATCTCCATCAGCTTGTACCAGTATCAGTTTGTTATGAGGGCTTCTGTAGGCAAACCTGAAACAAGATAAAAAACTTCCTCTAGTTTCTAGTCTTGGTTCAAATGAGGATGGGCTGCTATTTGAGCAAATCTAAGAGTTTCTCAGGGAAGGCAAAGGCAAAGCTGGATTTGGCTGAAATTTACTTGGAATTTGGGGTTTGTGAAACCAAAAGTAAACCCTGGTTTTGCAAATCTCAATGAATCTAAATCAAAGAAAAAAGGCCCAACTCGAATGTGCAGATCAGGTCCTACTTAATTCCCAGAGCAAAATAGGTACTATTTTCCATTCTGCTTTTCTGAAAAGTTCTCCAAGGTGAAAATATTTGTGAAGTGCAAAATCCTGTGATGTCTCTTCAGCTGACATAAGCCAGTCCAACTACTCTGTGGTGTGAAACAATTTGCCCTTTTCAACAAAAGCAAGGTGTAGTTGGGTGGTATTCAGTTGTTGTGGTGATAACAGAGATGGAGGTTGTTGATTTGTAGGAAACTGTTGTCACTGGTTCGGGTAAGATTGAAGGAGCCCAGTGGTTGACTGCTGACTTGTGTCGTTTAGTCTATGAAGCAGCAAAAGAGCTAGGTACAACTGTTACCTTGTGTGTGGTGACCCAGTCTGGTACATTCGTGTAGCTGTAGAGTTTTCTCCAGCAGCAGCTTTATCTGTTTCAGGCTGTGGCTGCCAGGTGAGAAAGAATGAAAGTGAATGGATTGATGTGAGTTATTCTTGGATTCTAGGCTTTGAAACCCTCAGAGTGGCATTTTTGCTATCTTCTCTGTTCACAGTGAATGGTGGCTGGTCCATTTGGTCAGAATGGTCAGCTTGCAACAACCGCTGTGGCCGTGGCTGGCAGAAACGTACCCGTACCTGCACCAACCCAGCTCCTCTCAATGGTGGTTCCATCTGTGAGGGACAAGCCTTTCAGAAAACTGCCTGTACCACAATGTGCCCAGGTAAAGAATGACTCGTGCAGCAGTCTGAGACCAGCCAGAAATATGGCAAGTGCCTCCCCTTCTTGGATTTCCCAGGTCAGCAAGGCCTCTAGTGCTCCTGAGGACCTAGCAGAGATGCAGTGTTATAGAGGCAGGGCTGTAAGAGGTCAGATGGACAGTGTCTCAGAACAGCCATCTTCCATTTAGTGTGTGGCATCTTTTGCCTAGTGAACACTCTTACTATGCTGTCTGAAAATGGAAGGTCCCAGAGGTCAGAGCAGCTGTGCATGTTACATGCATGGCTGTTCTGTTTCAAGGGTCCAAGGTTCCCCATCTCCAAGTGAGCCTGAAGTATTACTTTGCCCTACCATCCAGAAAACAAGCCACCCATGAGATAAATTTCCAACTCTCCATGACTTGGGTTGTTAAAACCAACTTAAACTTTCATTTCCTAAACTCTGAATTCAGAGATTGTGCTGTTGCTGAGGCTTCCTCCAAAAGTTTCTCTGGCTTGTTGTCTGTGAAGATATGAGAAGCCCAGATGCTTCTGCATCTTGTAATCCCATGCTCTTTTCCTTTCCCCATCTTTAATGGGTCATTTTCTCTTTGTATGTGTGTCTATGTGTGACTGTTCCCTGGAATGCAGTAGACGGAGCATGGACAGAGTGGAGCAAGTGGTCAGCCTGCAATACAGAGTGCACCCACTGGAGGAGCAGGGAATGCGCTGCTCCATCCCCAAGGAATGGAGGCAAGGACTGCAGTGGGGTGCTGCTGGACTCCAAAAACTGCACTGATGGACTATGCATGCAAAGTGAGTGAGCAACTGAGCCTGCCCTGGAACAGCACAGAAGAGAGGGTGGAGTGAGGGAGGAACGGCACAGCCTTAATAATACTAGGAAAGTTTATTAGGACAATTTTCTCAAAATAGACCTTACACACTAAAGAGTTTATTTCTGCCTTTGCATGGGCAGCAGACACTGTGCCTGGTGTCCTGCCATAAGTGGGCAAACAGTATAACTTAGGCTCTTGTCTTCCCTGAGGTTACAATCAGAACTCATTCTGGTTGGGCCCAGAAGTGCAAGTGTAGTTCCACTTACCACTGCAAGTGAAGTAATAGAAGTTCCAGCCTGGATATCCAAGGCAGCCTGGAATGGATTCTGATTACACTGGTGCCCAGAGTGCTGCTGAGGTAGAGGTGTGGGGATAGTGAGGTACATGAAGTCATTGGACTCAAAAGAAAATGAAAGTTATTAATCGTGCTAGACACACTCACTTAGGTGGATACATTCTTCAGAATCATCTGCTGACTAGGGCTGTGTGAAGCTTCAGGTGGTGATTCAATTCAGAGGAGATTTGGCCTGATTCAGTGGCCGAATCTCTGAATCCAAATCAAATCAAGACCAGTTACAACATCCAAATCAATTTGAAGCTCTCCAGTTCTTCAGAAAAGATTTGGAGAGCTTCAATGTTTTGGACAGTCCCCAGCCACTGCAGCAGAGACCTGCAGCTGGACTTGGAGCCGGTAAGTAGGGGGTGGGGGAATGGGGGCTAGAGGAGGGGGGAAGGGACCATGGGGGAACCCCTGCCAGGCCCCATCCCCTGCCTGCTCC